TGCCGTCTCCTGCACCAAGAAGGACATGCAGCCGGCTAAGCCAGGTGGCCCGCTGCCCGCTCTCCTCCTGCTGGCGCTGGCTCTGTCCCCGCAGGAGACCCAGGGACGACCGCGGGGGCTCAGAGCCTCGCGTGTGCCGGAGCCGAAGCCTTTGATTTTCCTTCCCGCGGCTGGGGCCGGCCTGGCTCCCAGTGCCTCCCGGAGCGCAGGTAAGCCCGGTGGACCCCATGCCATGGGTTACGTGAGCCTGGCGATTGCCAGATTACTTTTGGAGCTAAACGGGGTTTGGGAAGCTTGACCATCCCATCCTTGCAGAGTCCCTTTCTGGGGAAAGAGATGATGTTTTATTAGGTTTACCATAGTTGAGCTTAAATAACAAAAATTGGCTGGTAAAGAAGCCAATTTTCTTTGCCCCTTTCCTGGTACGGCAGGCCTCTTTGGAAAGGAACTAAGAAAATTGCTGGACGATCTGGGTTTTGGTCCCACGGGCTCGGGAAAGTGAACAGGTTATGCACCTGCCAGCTTCTCATTTCTGGGTCGTGTGTCTTTTTGAGAATTAAGTAGCACACTGGCCTGAGACACTTAAACATTTTTAGGAATGCCCTTTCCTTGTCCCTTCAAGCTGACCACAGGAATCAGGACCCTGACAGGGAAATCTGCTGGTTGTTGTGACAGATGGCAACTCGGACCTTTCCTGAGTCTGTTGTGAAGACCAAATGTTACCAGCTGCTTCCAAATCAATGCTGGACACTCACATTCCTGTTGCTTTGATGCCTACTTAGGGGAGGGGAATGAGGAGGGAGAAAAAGTTGACGCTATATAGGGGCTCTGAGACACTTTAAGTTAGAGAAGCCCTATGAATGAGGAGGAAATAAAGGAAAGCAGAGGAAAGGAGGCCAGGGGCAGCTGGGCTGTGTGTGGGGAGGGATACAAGACACAGGGCAGGAAGCAAGGTGGTGAGGAAGGACAACAGGCTACTCTGGGTGTTCAGGTCCACAGCAAAGGGGGCCAAGTGATAAAAGGGTCCATCATCAGGGCCACTGCATCCAACTTTGTGAGAGGACCAAGCTCCAGTGTGTCAGGATGCCCAGTACCTTCCACCTGGCTCTCACGGTAGCTCCAAAAGCCTCTTCTGCCTCCTACTTCTTAATATTGCTCTTATTTCATAATGTGATGACAAACACATATTCATTCACTCCACAGTCTTACTGAATGCTTGTCTTTATATCCAACCATCGTGTAGCGGGCTGGGGCTACTTAGGGCAGAGCTCTTTCCAGCACACCCAGGGTGTGTGTGGCAGGGAGCTGGTGCCACCTACATTGAATGAAAATGGAAAGCAGTGTTCTGTTCTGCAGGTGGATATGAAGCAGAAGAAGGTGGTGGGGAGGCATTGGGAGGCTTAGTGGGTGCGAGCAAGGTGCGAGGAAGACCCAGCCTGAGCCTTTCAGTCTGACTGGCAGGTGGAGTGCCCTCAGGAAGGGAACTGGGACAATAACCGGGCATGCCATGATAATGCCACACTGATCCAACACTTCCATTTACAGTTACTGTCAACCCAAATATTTATCTCAGAGCATGCAGTGTCCCTTTGGAATGAGAAAGGAGTGAGAGAAAGTCTCAAACAGCAACATTTATGGTAACACCTTAATGCAGACTCTGTTTCATCTAGATTTTAATAGATCTTCTCTCTTTGGTTAAAGGCAGCGAAGACTCACTGGCACTGCTGACAGAGAGAAGATGAAACCCTTTAGTTAAAGTTAACAGTGGCAATAATTGAAGTTGTGCAAAGCAAGATAGCCTGACAGAAAGTGACCTACAGGTCACTCAAGTCTCTTGCTTTCCGTGGCTGTGCATGGTGGTTTTGTCTTTTGATTATTGTACTCAGCTCCCCCGGGGAAGAAAAGGGTGGCTCATTACATTGGAGGTGAATTCTGGATAGAGAGAGTGCTTGGACAGGGATCAGGGACAAGCAAGACATCAATACAGAGAAGACAGAACCCATGGGGGTGTTCTCATGGGATATGCTCAGGAGGTGGCAAGTGTCACAGCTCATGCAAGAGGAAACATTTTTCACATCCCGGAGGCGAAGAACTCTCATCCTTGCTTTCAACATAATAAGCATCAACACCCAGCATAATATACTTGCCCCGGATTCTGAAATCCTTGCTGCTCATGCAGGTAGAAAAAAACAAACTCAGGCTCAGATTCTCCTACTATACTCACAACACAGATCCCTTCTGACATCAGAGGTGTGGGGTCTCCCCTCCCCCACATCAAACAAGCAGAGGCTACCAGCGGCTGGTCGTGTAATTCAGTTCAGTCTCACACCTACCTGGGGTGTGTGTGTGTGTGTGTGTGTGTGTGTGTATGTGTACGCGTGTGATCCCATAGGCCGAGAACTCAATCCTAAGACTACTCTCCCCTCCCCTCCCCTGCCTTTCAGGTGCCAGTCTTTTCTCTGTGCTTCTGAGTGACTATCAGTTGGGGATCTCACAGTCCACTCCTCGGGTTTGATTAATTTGCTAGAGTGGCTTATAGAACTCAGGGAAACACATTTACTGATGTATGATAAGTATTACAAAGGACACACAGATGGAGATACGCATAGATCGCAGCATAAAGAGCATGAGCTCCTCTGCTCTCTCTGAGCCCTCCACCTCCCGTAAGTGTCTGCACAGGGATCTCCGGGAGCTTTGTGTTTTGGGATTTTCATTGAGGAAGTTTCATTACATAGTTATGTGGGCCTGGGATTTAGCTCAGTGGTTCCGGTGCTTGCATCGCAAGTACAAGGGCTGGAGTTTGATCTCGGTGCCAAACAAACAAAATAATTGCATTTCATTACATAGACATGATTGATTACATCATTGGTCAGAGTGATCAATTTAACCTTCAGCCCTCCCCAGAGGGAGTCCTAACTCTCTACCCTGCCTCGATGATTTGAACCTACCTAGAGGCTAGTTGTTGCCAGTCAGTTCATTAATATGCAAAACAGGAGTATTTCAGAGATTCAAGGGATTTTAGGACTTGTACTGTACAACAACAAAAATATCTTTCACAGTATTATAACATGCAATTATGCATTCTCCCTTTTTAGCAGTTAGGCAACTTCGTCATATGCTGATGTAAGGCTGGAAGTGGAAGAGCTATTCTCAGTTAAACAAAAGCCTTTGGACCAGCAAGGACAGTATCTTTCTTGAACTGAAGAGGGTGAGTGGGTGGGACTGAGTGTACAGTTCCCAAGAGCACTGGTATTTTATCATGCTTGGCTCTCACTCTCTTATTCTCTCTCATTTGTTTTTTTTTTTTCTTCTTTTTTTTTTTTTTTTTTTTTTTTTTTTTTTTGGAGAGAGGATCTCACTATGCAGTTCAGCCTGGTCTTGAACTCAGGGTGATCCTCCTGTCTCAGCCTCCTGAGTACTGGGATTACAGGCATGCACCACCATGCCCTGCTGCTCTCCTTTCTCCTGTGACCCTCCTGTTCATCACACCTGCATTCACCCACTCATTTAGCCTTCAGGACACATTTGAGGTTGCTCTGATGGACCTAGAGTTATGAAGTTAACAACTGTGGTTGACTGTCATTCTTGAGAAGGTCAGTTCACCAAATAAATCCTTCAACAAATGTCTCAAATCTAGTTCTTCCTCTTCTTGTCCTTCCCTTTGCCGTGGTTCAAGCCCTCGTGAGAGTGTCACAGTGAACTAGATTGTCTTCCCAAATCTTAGTACCCTGGCCAATTCATCTTACTGGGGTAAGAATTAGAAATGGTGAGATTTCATAACCTTTACTCTCACCCTCGTATTCCTGAACTTTCCTCCCATTTTCTCTGATTATCCTGCCAACAGAAGGAAGCGCATACAGCCTGTTATTAGAAAGAGATACTCGGTACTCACCCACTGAAATACAGATGCAATCAGAAGGCTGTGAGATGGGGCACTGTGGGGTAAAAAAGTGGTTTGGATGAGTTTGAGAAGAGGTGGAAAGTGGGGAGGCAAGAGTGTAAGGAGGACTGCTGGGAAGTTTTAATGTGTAGTGTGTCCCCTGTGTAACCGCTTTCTTTTCAAGAGATTTCAGGAAATAGTTATACTTTTTCTGCAGACTTTCTAGAGTCAAATTTGTGTTTTCATGTAAAACTTTGCTGATACGTATGGAGTTTAAAGAGAAATGGTGAAGATCATTTTGGTGAGGTTATCCCGAGGAGTTACAAGTAAACATTCCTTATAAGTACTATTGGGCTGGTTCTTTCCTAGTCACAAGTCACAGTGGCTTCTCTTGAATTTCCAAGAAAGTTCTAACCCCACCTTTTCCGTTCTTTTTTCACCTCCTCTTTCTGCAGCTCTCCTGGGACTGCCCCTGTGCCCCTCAAGTCCTGTACCTGCTCCTCACAGATGCTGTTCTTTGTTCTGGAAGGTTCTTCTTTCATCTTTTTCTGTTGAAATTCTATCTATTTACCTAGGCCAGCGATGGTGAACCTTTTAGAGCTTTCAGTGATGATGAACAGCCCTCTGTGATACTCATGCCTACAAACTTTTTTCCTCTGATCTTGCATCTCATTGTCAGCACAGAAGACTTCTGCTACTTCAAAAGGCATGGGTGTGGGGATTCCTCCTCAAGCAAGCAGGCTGTTCTGCACGGAATATCAGTAAGGTGTCATCGAACCTACTTCAATCCTAACATTATCTACCTGGAGATAGGGCCATTCCCCACAGGAGGAGTGCCCAGTGCCCAACACTGCTCCTGTTTGAAACTCACTTGCCATGTCCAGGCCTCTGAAATGTCTCACCATCAAATGAGCATATTGTCAGCCTCTTCAGGACCAAAGGCAAATATATTTATTTGGGTCTAACTAGGATTTCAGTATGGAAAAACGGATTTCAATAATCTTGAAAATATACTATGAGATTTTACAACATGATATCTGTATTTATAGCTTTAAACCACCGGGGTTGGAAATTCCCTCACTTGTTAGTCAGGTGTTACTGTTGTCACTGGCAAATGTTATGCTGTGGTGTAAGAAGGGGATTGGGTGTGGACTTAGCCTCTAGGTAGTTTGGGGGAGGAGTCTATATACAGATGGCGCGCAGAGGTCAGCATCATTTTGGGAACCTGCAGTTTGGCCTGTGCGCAGGTCAGCCTGAATCCTGGTTCTGTGTGTGTGTGTGTGTGTGTGTGTGTGTGTGTGTGTGTGTGTGTAGAGGGTGGTTCTGGAG